TCCACTGGAATTGTTTCCATTGCTGTTAAATTTCACAGCCCTCCCTCTGATATTCTATTTTGTTATACTTTCTCACCACTTGATTGCTTTCCTCTGTGTCTTTAATCGATTGGAATAGTTAACTAACCAATTGCCACGGCACCCTTTGTTAGAGGGCCCTTTGTCTCCCTCCAATTTATGATTCCTCCTTTTAAATATATTAAAAAATTAATTAAGATCCTCTTCTTGACTGTTCTTATGCCAATAACCAATGAGTTTATTATGGTTTTCTAATATGTTTTTGTTTTAATTCTTCTTCATTATTCTTCCTTGTAAAAAGATTTTAGTGAATTTCATTTGTTTTTTCTTCTGGATAAATATTAAGTTATAACCCAAATGACCTAGATTTTTTCAGTCTGTGGAGTCAGAAAAAGAGCAGCACTATCTCACTGCTTGATAGATGAGGGAGTTGGCAGGTGTTGACATCTTCCTTCGGAGCCCATATGCAATCTGCCTTTGTTCAAGGGGCAGAGAGACCCCTACAGTACTTGCTTTGCGATAATAGTTAAGAGTTATAGACTGACTCTTAGTTTCTTCTGTTTCCTTTGGGGGGAAAAGTTCTGAAGAAGGAGGATCCTTAAGAGTGGGTATCAATGTAGTTTGCCGAGAGCCTCTCATAATACCATAGTATTTTCTACCTGATATTTGCTAATACATAGTTTTGTTTGTCCAGTGCTGCATTCTCATTTTGACTCTTCATTCCTTGAAGGTAGAATAATTACCATGATAATACTGTTATTTATCATATGTCTTCTCTGTGCCAGGCATAGTGTTAGACACATTGGGACCTAATATGTCATTTAATCCCCACAATTCTATGATGTGTGTATCGCAGTCCTACCGTATAGGTCAGGAAGGAAGCCCAGGATGCTGATAATAAAGAGCAGAGTCAGGATTCCACCCCAGTGTTTCCGAAATGAGTATTCTCTCTATTTCACGACACCATCTTCCAGCAATCACATAACCTAGAAATAATAATATGTATCTTGATTATACCACTTGCATTTCCATGAACATAGTATAATAATAATGGTGCTATCAGGCATCTTTTGTGTATTCCTGGTTTTTTTTAAGAAAACCAATTGTGTTTCACTGTTAAATAAATTGATTATTATTAAGATATTAAGAGTCTTTCATTAAATTCTTAAGCAGTATTTTAAAGGTATGAAAATAACAGAGTGAACACCCATGTGCCCAACATCCAACATAAGATCTAGAACATTACCAACAGAAGACCTTTATATACCTTTCCTTGGTCATCTCACATATACCCCCAGAGGCAATCACTCCTCTGAACTTGGGGTTTCAGTGCAGCTAGTTTTTTAAAAATGTTTACTTATTTATTTTGAGAGAGAGGGTGTGTACAAGCAGGGGAGCGGCAGGGAGAGAGGAAGAGAGAGAATCCCAAGCGGGCTCCATGCTGTCAGTGCAAAGACAGTTGTGGGGCTTGGTCCCACAAGATCCCATGATCCCATGAGATCATGACCTGAGCCAAAATCAAAAGTCAGTGGATGCTTAACCAACTGAGTCACCCAGGCGCCCCTCAGGATAGCTGTTCTTAAATTATTGTATTAGTTAGACTCACAAAAGGAAAACCAGTGCTCTCCCCAAATTAGGATAATTTGATGAGAATGTATTCACAAAGGACTTTCTTTGTAAGTTGTGGGTATGGGAGAATCACAGAGAAAGCAGAGTAACCTAGCATCGATAGCCACCAAGTTATCCATCTTTAGGCCCAAAGGGATGAGGAGGGGAGCAGTTTCCAGAATCTGGAAGAGGAAAGAGTCATAAAGGATTGTCCTGCAGGAGAGGAGCAGTGACCTCTGTCAATGCCCGGAGCTATGTCTGTGGCCACTCATAACTACAAGGGGGCATGGGAAATCATGATCTTTAGAGAGGCATCTCATCATTCCTAAGGGAAATTAGCATGCTCATAGGAAGAAGGAGAGAATAGATTTTGTGCAGACCACCAGCAGTGTCTGTCACAAAGTCACTTTACTGGGCAGGAGCTAGGGGAGTGGAAACCCCAATCTCACTGAGTTCTGTCGCTGTGTTGTCCTGGGGCTTTGCAGTGGCCAGACTCATCTGGAAGGGGAGCCTGTGGGAGCCCTTTGATATGATCCAAATAAGTCAACCTCCTGAAGTGGAGAGCAGATGTGGGAGAAGTAAGGCAGAAAAGAGGGGTCTATAAGGGTGAACAGAAGCCGTCTTGCACATTCATGTTTCTGGTTTATAAAGTGCCCTTTTAAAAATAAAGAAGTAGTACAGGAGCCTGGGGAGGCTCAGTCAGGTGAGTGTCTGACTCTTGATGTGGTCTCAGGTCATGATCTCACAGTGGTGAGTTCAAGTCCCACCCTGGGCTCTGCACTGACAGTACCAAGCCTGCTTGGATTCTCTATCTCCCTCTCCTTCTGCCCCTCCCCCACTCATATTCTCTCTCTCTCTCTCTCTCTCTCTCTCTCTCTTTAAAAAATAAAAATAAAAATGAAGAAGCAGTAAATTTTATCTTCAGCTTATATTGAGATCATTCTACATTTAAGGCTCCGAATTTGAGGTGCCAAGTCCGGGCAAGAGCAGTGCCCAGGTTGAGAAAAAGCTGTGTAGCCTCAAAGAGTCTTGGGAGACATGCAGTTAAGACCATTAACTAAACAGTTTACTCAACAGGTATTTCAGGAATGCTGTTGTGAGCCAGGCATTGATCTTCACACATTAGTGACACGGCAGAGAACACACCACAGCCTCAGCTCTCATGGAGTCCAGACTCTTGTAGGGGAGGCCGACCAGAAGCAAACAAGATAAGAGTATGTGTAGTGAGGCTAAGGGGTAGGAAGAAAGAAAAGAGGAGCCAGGGGGTTGGGCAGTGCTGTTTGAGGTAGAGTGGTCAGAAAGCCCTCTCTGATAAGACGACATGTGAGTCCCGAGGAAGCCAGGGTGTTGGTGGCGCTGATGCTGCGAGAACTTTCCAGGGAGACCATCTAAACAAGACATCAGTCTTTCAGAGGCAGGGAGGGAGACTGCAGGTACATAACCGTGGGGATAAAGCTGGGAAATGAGTGAGAAAAACCGACTTTGGGGAGGTAATTCTTTAGGTTTTCAACTTCCTCTTTATTATGGTCACTCAGGATGACCTTGAAAATTGAAGTTGGACAGCATGTCTTTGTTCAAACCACTGAGGAAAATCCTAAAATGCATCATTTTTCACTTTATGGGTAACTTTTGCCTCAATTTTCCCCACAAGCAGTTGTCTTAAAGTAAGTGTAATTAATATTCATTTGGAAGGTGTGGAAAATATTTTTTTCCTATGTACTTTGAAGAAAGTGGGAAAATGCTTGGCCTTGAGGACAGAGCAGTGTCACCATCTCCACAGGGACCATGTTGGTCTAGGGCCTCATTTGCTTTCATTTAGCAGCTGATAACATTGCTATCATTTGTTGGGATGCCTCTGTCCTTGGACGTAGCTAAGGTTGAAAATGAAAACAGTGAGGAATGGAGTAGTCGAATGAACTTGCCCGAGGTACCCAGCTATGAAGCTAATACGTGGGGAGAGTGAGGGTTCCAGTCAAACAAGACTGTGTGTCTTTTCTGTCTTCAGAGACCAGGCCCATCAGCGGTTTGCTGCTGGCCTCCTGAGACTGCGACAAGGGCCCTCAAATACAGCTCTGCCTCCCTCTGGTGGGTCCTCCCCACATGTCACCAGTGTGGCCTTTTAAAGTTGAGTTCTGATGTCAATACTCCCTTGCCATAGCACTTAGGTACTGCTTTCAGCTGTTCTAACAGAAAACCCAAGTAAGAGTGGCCTAGTCACAGAGGGGGGTGTTTTTCTTACATCACAAGAAGCTGGAAAGCAGACGGTCCTGGGCTTCATGGCTGTTTCAGAAGTTTATCAAGGAGCCGAGTTCCTTCTGTCTTCCTACTCTGTCATCCTTAGGATCTGGCTTTTTCCCTCAGCATCCCAAGATGGCTCCTCTTCCTCCAGATGAAGCAACCAAGTTCCAAATAAGAGAAGCGAAAGAGGAAGGGCAACTAGTGTGCCTCCCTGGACTTTGTCCCTCTTTGTCAGGAAAATCAGAGTGTCCCCGGAAGCCCACTCGGAGACTTCTGCTTACATCGCACTGGCCAGAACTGTAGCTACTGAATGTAGCACTATGTCTCTGGCCACTCATTATTGCAAAGGGGCCTGGGAAATCATGATCTAAAGATCTAAAGATAGGCATATCACCACTCCTAAAAATAATTAGGATGCCGACAGTAAGAAAGACGGGGAGATAGAGTTTGTGTAGGTCACCAGTAGTGTCTGCCACAATGGCTTAAAATTCTTCACTGAGCTCCCATTGCTGCATGATAAAATCCAAATTCCTCCTTATCATGCTGTCTAGGGTCCTCGTGATGTACCCTGCAGCCTTTTGTCCATCCTGCCTGCGTCAGACATTGCGTTCCTGGGGCATGAATTACCAGTCCCTTTGTGAATATCAAGCTCTCCCCGCCTCCATGCCTTTGTGTGTGCTGCTTAGTCACCCCTTTTCTTTCACATGATCCTGTTTCTCTCGTCTACCCCAAGTATCTAATCTTTCCAGTCTAGCTGGAGCATGACTTCCTATCTGAGATCTGCTTTGAGTCTTAACAACCAGATTAGATCCTCCCTCTTGTACATTCTCATAGCACCTTGAACTCTTCTGTATCATTCACTCATTTAATTGTAATGAAGTTGTGTGTGTGTGTCTGTGACTCAGGTGAGCTCTCATGAGTTCCTTAAGCGCAATATGAACAAAGAAGTGAATTGGCATTGGCCTCCAGCCCTTGTCTGGGCAGATACTGTTTGACACAAATGACTGTCGCCTTTTGTTTGGATTTCCCTTTGAATTTTGGTACTCTGTGTACCTGGGCCCTGCATTTCTAGTTCTGTGTTTTTTTTTTTAAGTCGTTTCTGTTGTTAATATACGTCTGTTCCCTTTTGGTGCCAGTTGTTGAAATGGATGAAGAAAATGGACTTTTACTTCTAGAACTGAATCCTCCCAACCCCTGGGATTTAGAACCCAGATCTCCTGAACATTTGGCTTTTGGTGAAGTGCAGGTAAGGAGACATTAAAATTGTTATGTTCTTAAAAACAAAAATAAAACTAAGATGTCCATTTATATAAGTGTGTGTGTATATAATAAAACTAAGATATATAAATATGTATATGTGTATTTACATCCTAAATTACCTTGAATACTCTTTGAGGTAGCTAGTTAGCACATGAAATAAAGTTATTCTGAACTCTTGAGCAAATTTTTTTAGGAACCTCCACAACCTGATAGAAATTGCAAGGAAATGTATTCAGAAAAAAACCAACCAAACAAAAACAACAAAAAACCGGTGAGTAAATGAAGTCCCAAAGGAGAGTCAGGCCAAAGTATTGGAGAAAGTTCAGAAGTTTCCTTTGAGGCCAGATCACTGTCGGATAAGATGGCCAGCTGCCCATCTCTGCATTTTGCCCTACGTTCTTTCACAAGCCTTCCTGTGCACTTTCCTAGCTTTGAAAGAGAGTTTCCTACAGAGGAAACACTGACCATTTGGGGGAGGTAGATAATCAACATTTTATTTTTCTTGGATATTTGGGAAACTTGTACTTATTTGAGGAGACAAAGGGAAACCTGTCAAGAGAAGTCCTAGTGAAATGGAATGGGATTGCTTGCCCTCTCCTCCCCCTCCCTGCTGGCTTTCCACACCTTATCTCCACTACCTATGTCTGCTTCTTGGTGTGCTTCCTGTTTGCTGTGATGCACTGGCCCATGGGAAACGGATGAGGAATTGAGTTGGAATCTTCCACTCAATGCCTGTTTCTCTGTCATTGTTTCTAGTATTCGCAGGAGACCTTGACATCTTGAGTGTGGTAGCAGGTACTTTAGAAGGGGAAGTCTTGTGAGCTGCATGTACCCACCCACCCAACCTCACCCACCCAACCTCACCGGGTATCATTCATTCCTGTATCTCTTCACAGCCACTCTGGCATGTAGACCCAAGGGTCTGTCACGTCACCTCTCACTGCCTTTCCTTGTAAGTTGTGCCGGGACGGGCTTGTCACAGAGGGTATTCTGCAGTGCCGACTGTACATAAGCATTTAGGAGCTGATCTAAATAGAGTAAAACGAGGTAAATCAGTTGCTTTGACACCTGAAACCAACCAGGAGAGTTTCTATTCTACTGAAGCAGTGACCCACCTGTCACTGCGAGCTGTATCCCATATAAAGACTTGCTGAGCTGTCCCTGAGTCCTATTTCCCAGCACATTCAAGAGCCAGGTTCTCCGGTGGGACGCGTGGGCCAACCAGCCCAAACCTTCAGCTCACTGTTGCTGTGCAGATTCGATCATCTGCATCTCACTGTCTTCCAACAGATAACGTACCTCACCCACGCCTGCATGGACCTCAAGCTGGGAGACAAGAAGATGGTGTTTGACCCTTGGTTAACGGGTCCTGCGTTCGCCCGGGGATGGTGGCTGCTGCATGAGCCTCCACCGGATTGGCTGGAGAGGCTGTGCCGCGCAGACCTCATTTACATCAGTCACATGCACTCAGACCACCTGAGGTAATGGAGGAGATGCCGCAGTAGAGGCATAGCGTGTTTGCGGGTGCTTTGCAGCCCCTGCTCCCTTGGAGGTGGGTGTCGCGGGGAGGAGAGAGGACTGGTTCAGATAAATGCTGGCATTTGCGTAGATTTTAGAAGTGCGTGCGCACTCGATGCCCCTGGGCGTGAGGAAGCAGCCGTGGGGGGGCGGGGGGGGCAGGGGTTAATAACCCTCTTTACCTCTCACTTCCCACTCTTGGGCCGCTGGGCAGAAGTGTGCATCGGAGGTTCGCCACAGCTGACTTCCTTCTTCCGTTCAGCATTCGCAGCGGGAGTCGGCACACATCTTCCGTACGGGGCCCGCGTGTGAATAGCGTGGGCTCCACGAGCCGTGTGGTCACTGTCACACCTGCTCACCTCTGTGGTTTTGGCACATGGGCAGCCTGCATTCCAGTGAAATTCTCTTCATAGACAGTGACATTTGAACATTACACAATTTTCACGTATCACAGAGTATCTCTGTCCTTTGGAGGATCTCTGCACCTGTTTTAAAACGGTAAAAACCACGTTTAGCTTGCGGACCGGGTAGCTGCGGTCTGCCAACTCCTGATTTATAGCACCCCAATAATCCCGAGCTCCCGGCTTGTAACCCTGAGTTCACTGAAACGAGAACAATAGCACACTGAAAATAGGAACCGAAAGGTCCCTAACCCAGGAAATCAAAAAGAAAGCGACTTTTCACTTATAAAACCATACACATTTGCAAATGAACTATTTATGAAAGGGAAGTCGATCTACTTCAGAGTCTGTATCTCCCTCTCTCTCTGACCCTCCCCGCTCACGCTGTCTCTCTCTTTGTTAGAAATAAATAAAAATATTTAAAAAAAAAAACAAAAAAAGAAAGAGGGAAGGCCATATTCTCAAACGGTTGGTTAGGTACAGGGTCATTTTTGTTCTTCCTTGTTTTGAAGTTTGTTTCGCCGCTGCTGGGTTGCCCATATAGACACACAGCAGTGCCCACAGTGCTATAAAATGAAGCAACTTCAGCCTTTTTTCCCCCCTGCGATCCTACATGACAGAGTTCACATGTAGGACATACTTTGTAGAAATGTCTATGGTTAGGGATGATGTGTTCTTTGCTGGTTGACTGGCCCCTGGATTTTCTACTCTAAGACACGAATATGCTCTCTGTTATTTTTCTTTGAAAGGAAATAGCTTTAAAAACTAGCTGTCTTCATAACGAGTTACCTGCTGCACACTTACAACTTGATGACAACCCAGTATTGGGGTGCTGTGATGCAAGATCTCCTTGTCCGCTGCATGGTACCTCTGTCCCACACAATGTCCAGAAGCTACAGCGCCACACCTCCAGGTTTTTGAGAGCCCTGGGTTCACGTACCGTGTGATAGCCATGCTGCATACGAGGACTTTTGTAGAGCTTGTGGAGAAAGTGCAGGATTACCTACGTGAGGCGATGGCTGCACAGTGCCTGTTCCAAGATGCACTTGCCTTGCCTAAAGCCCCGGGGAAGGTTTATTCAGGGAACACATGGAATTTGAGGGAAGGGAAGAAGTTTTCATGTCATTTCATCCAGTCGTATCCCAACCACAGTCCTAAAAAGCAATTTAGGGGCTTATGTGGGTGAACTTGTCAGGCATGAAGACACCAGTTCTCAAGTAGAGTGTACAGCACGTGTGGCCACGAGGTGTCCTGTGAACAGTTTATTACTGAAGAGTTACTGAAGCTTGTAACGGTCAGCCCTTTGACTCTGGTTCCTGATAAACCCTTATATTTTGACTCTCACCTAGTCAACTAAAAAACACGGGAGCCATTTGCTTCCATTCTGTGTCTCGCCTTTACTCACCGAATGAAATCTCCTAATACCAATGTTGTGCCATTCGGAATAAGCCACCAGGTCAGATATCTGTGGGGTTTTTCCTACACTCTCCAGTTACGCTTTCCAGAATTGTACATGAAGGAGTCACTTTAAGATTAAGGAAATAATGCTTATTTTGTCTGTACATAGCAGTCTGTAAATACAATTTTTATTTGAGCCAAAATGAAAGATGGATTTTTTTTTTTTCATTTACCAATGGTATCACTACCCAAAACAAGGGGAAAAGGCCAGTGTACTTTAGAGAGTAGTCTTTAATCAAAGAAATGTGATTTCATTGTGTAAATGGAGGGAATATTGTAACAGATGATATTATTAATAGATGCCACTAAGAGGTGTCAACATTTTTTTTTAAATCACAAAGCAATAAAAAGTCCATTTTAGACTAATTTATCCTAACTCCCAAAGTCCTGTAAAATAGAAGACTTGGGTACTGGGCCCAAAGACTGAAGGCACAAAGAATCTTTCACTTTTCAAATCCTTTGTTTTTAAAGAAGATTTTCTGTACACCGCCCCCGCCCCCCCCCCCGCCCAGATTCTGTTTATTTGAATACCTTTTAACACAATGCTGGAACTTAAATATTAGTACAGTTAATAAGTACTGATAATGCAGATTTTGCTTCTGCTTTTCTTATCAAATAACCCATTTCCCGTAACATTATACTCTGTACAAGGGTGATTCTTTTTTTTTTTTTTTTTAATTTTTAAATGTTTATTTTTGAAAGAGAGAGCACAAGCAGAGGAGGGACAGAGAGAGAGGGAGACACAGAATCCGAAGCAGGCCCCAGGCTCTGAGCTGTCAGCACAGAGCCCAACAAAGGGCTCAAACTCAGAAACTGAGATCATGACCTGAGCCAAAGTCAGACTCTTAACCGACTGAGCCAACCAGGCGCCCCTGGACAAGGGTGATTCTTAAACCAGATAGCATATTCGTTAGAGTCTGGAATTGCCTTCCAGACTAGGCCTAGAATCTGAAAACATGAATCTGCATACCAATTTGCTATTTCTTAGTTGTATGTGTCTGAATATGTTTTCTCACTTAGAAAAAAGCAAGCAAAAAATTCAGAGGGTTTTTTTTTGTTTTTTGGTTTTTTTGCCAAGAATTAAAGTACCATGTGAAAGTGCCAGGCACCCTGTTTGACATAGAATAGATACCTTCGCATTTATTTGTTTATTATTCACGTTTTTGCCACACCCCACAGTGGTACATAATTTTTTTATATAACGATTGCTCAGCAAATGAAACTTGACTTAATCTCTGTGTTCGAAAGCTACTCAGACGGCTCTTTGTGTACTGAGTTGGGATTACTCTACATGTTGAATGTCATTTTCCTCTACACTAAATTTGACTGGAAACTCACTCCCTGTGAGGACAGAGAACTTATTCTATATACTGAGGTGTGGCTAACAACCTTTGAAAGTTGGAAAACTGCTCCGGGTCCTCCTTCTCTGGTGGGCCAGGCGTTTCTCTTACGGGGAGCTGTCACGTGGGGAATGAGAAAAATGAAACTCACAGAGATCTTCACCCACCAGAAACCTCTTCAGCATGACTTTTTCTACCTTCAGTTAGAAGTACCCACAGCATTGATGGAGTAGATAAATTGCCCATCTGGTTGCTGTACGTGCTATGGTGTATGCTGTGTTCTGACACAGAAAAAGGAATCTTGGAAGAAATCAGCTTGGAGGGAAAAAAGCCCTTCTTTTGGACTCTGATGAGAGTCTGTCTTTTCAATTCCTTTTTTTCTTAAATTTTTAAATGTTTGTGTATTTTTGAAAGACAGAGTGTGAGTGGGAGAGGGGCATAGAGAGGGGGAGACACAGAATCGGAAGCAGGCTCTGGGCTCCGAGCTGTCAGCACAGAGCCCAACGCGGGGCTCAAACCCACGAACCGTGAGATCACGACCTGAGCCGAAGTCAGAAGCTTAACCGACTGAGCTACCCAGGCGCCCCTCTGTTTCTTCTTGATCAACATGTTGGTATAAGGAGCAAACTGTCTCTTCTACTAGGTGGTCCTATTCTGTCACCTTTCAACCTTTCCATCCTTCTGATCCTAGTTACCCCACGCTGAAGGAGCTGGCTAGGAGAAGACCAGATATTCCCATTTATGTTGGAAACACGGAGAGACCTGTATTTTGGAATCTGAACCAGAGCGGTGTCCAGCTGACCAATATCAATGTAGTGCCATTTGGAATATGGCAGCAGGTCAGATATCTGTGTTTTTCTACACTTTCCAGTTATGCTTTCCGGGTTGACTTTTAGGTAAGGAAGTCACTTGAAGATTAAAGAAATAATAGCCGATTTGTTTCTGTGTGTAGCATTCTGTAAATATCATCCTTATTTAAGCTAAGAGATTTTTTTCCTCATTTACCAATGGTGTAACTCCATAGTACAGGATAATACATTTAGTTTTGAATGAAGGAGATTTCTTTCCAGAAGAGTTGACAACTTTCTCGGATACTTAATTAAAAGCCAAACTGACATACACAGTTGTTGCTTTTATTGTTACTTTCCAGGTAGACAAAAATCTTCGATTCATGATCTTGATGGATGGCGTTCATCCTGAGATGGACACTTGTATTATTGTGGAGTATAAAGGTACTTTCTTGCCTTCATCAATACCGAAAGAGAAAAATGCTCCTGGACAGAAGAGCGATGACCATCTTCTTCCATCTTCATTTCCCCTGGAATATAATATATTCTGTTCTTGCCTTAGAACAAAGTGCTATCATTCAGATAGTCTTTCCAAAGGACATATTAATGGTAATGTTGTCTATGTAGTGAGAACTGCAAAGCTTTTTCATAAGGTGACAGATATTCTGTATTTTGCGTGTAGTAATTTCTTCAAACTGCCTTTGTTGAATAAATGTCTTACTTTTTAAGATTTTAATTTCAGTGCAGTTAACGTACAGTGTTATATTAACTTCAGGTGCCGAATTTAGTGATTCAGCACTTCCATACATCACCTGACACTCATCACAAGCACGCTCCTTAATCTGCATCGCCTATTTCACCCATCCCCCAACCCACCTCCCCTCTGGCAACCATCGGGTTTGTTCTTTAGAGTTAAGAGTCTGTTTCCTGGTTTGTCTCTCTCTCTTCTTTCCTTTGCTCATTTGTTTTGTTTCTTAAATTCCACATATGAGTAAAATCATGTGGTATTTGTCTTTCTCTGATTGACTTCTTTTGTTTAGCGCTATGCTCTCTAGCTCCATCCACGTCATTGCAAATGGCAAGATTTCATTATTTTTTATGGCTGAATAATATTCCACTGTATATAGATACCACATCTTCTTTATGCATTCATCAGTCGATGGACACTTGAGCTGCTTCCATAGTTTGGCTATTATAGATAATGCTGCGATAAACATAGAGGTGCATGTAACCCTTTGACTTAGTGTTTTTCTTTTTTCTTTTTTTTAATTTTTTTTTAATGTTTTTATTTATTTCTAGGAGAGAGAGAGAGAGAGAGAGAGACAGCATGAGCAGGGGAGGGTCAGAGAGAGAGGGAGTCACAGACTGAAACAGGCTCCAGGCTCTGAGCTGGCAGTCAGCACAGAGCCCGACGCGGGGCCCGAACCCACGAACCGCGAGATCATGACCTAAGCGAAAGTCGGATGCTTAACCGACTAAGCCACCCAGGCGCCCCTGACTTAGTGTTTTTCTATTTTGGGGGTACATACCCGGTAATAGTACCACTGGATCATAGAATAATTATATTTTTAACTTTTTAAGGAGCTTTTGTACTGTTTTCCACAGTAGCTGCACCAGTTTGCTTGCCCACCAACAGCACAAGAGGGTTCCCTTTTCTCTACATCCTCACCAACACTCATGGTTTCTTGTGGGTTTTTTTTAAAGTTTATTCATTTATATAAACTTCTATAAGTTTATAATCTCTACACTTGACATGGGGCTCGAACTCACAGCCCCAAGATCATGAGTCACATGCTCCTCCAACTGAAGCAGCCAGGCGCCCCTCTTGTGTTTTTTATTTCAGCCATTCTGATAAATGTCTTTTTATCTGTTGAAATACTATCAGGTAATATAATCACGTACTTCTGCCTTTTATGTGGGAAGATGGCTTTACTGCCCCAACCATCACTGAATAGAACTTATGGAAGGTTGAGAGATTCCAATCACTCTTCCTCTGCATTCTTTGGGCTCAGCATCTGGAGACAATTGACTGAGGAAATAGTCTGTCTGTGACACTGGAGTGAAATCAAGCTAATTGTCTTCATGGGACATCCAGAACCTACCAAATAAAATAAAAAAGAATCAATTTATTCACTTGAAATTTCAAAAAAATGCTAGTGAAGATTTTAGGTTTTCAAATCTTCCTCATCTTTTTCCTTGGCCATAAGTAATCCTCCTCTAATCAAACGAGTCTCATGAAATAGGCATGCATGGGAGACTTTGTTGGCTTGGGAATTCAAACTGTATGATGTGCAAGATTTCACCCTGAATATCCATCCCGCTTTGTTTTTCCACAGGTCATAAGATACTTAATACAGTGGACTGCACCAGGCCCAATGGGGGAAGGCTGCCTGAGAAGGTTGCTCTAATGATGAGTGATTTTGCTGGAGGAGCATCAGGCTTTCCAATGACTTTCAGTGGTGGAAAATTTACCGGTAATATTTTATATCAGAGCAATGCCAAAGAGAGGTGTGGCACTTTGCTAAATGCTGTGAGAATAAAAACAAAGATAATTAAGATACAGTACCTCCCCACAGGAAGTTTGCAGTCTTACTGGGAAACAAGATTCGCAAACCACAGATAGATGAACTGATGTTCCCAGCTCAAAATATGGTGATGGAGCGTGAAAGAAACACTAAGGCAATTAGGGTACAATCTCAGGAATAGTCAAGAAAAAAGTCATTTGGGTCATTTTGATTTATGGTGTAGACCATAGGCAGAGCAGGAAAGGTCCAACATTGGTAATCCAAGCTTAAATGCTCTTGGAAGGTGATTCAGAATTGAGTGTGTGCAGCTTGACGTAGGCGTGTCCCCTGGGCCCCGGGGAATGCTCATACAAGGGAGGAGCACAGTCACTACAGGTGATGTTAAGCGGGGAGTGGAGTAGGGGACATGGGGAGATATCGGTCAAAGGCCCAAACTTCCAATTATAAGAGGAGTGAATTCTGAGGATGTAGTGTGCAGCGTGGTGAGTATAAGTAACAGTATTGTTTCATATGCTTGAAAGTCGCTGGGAGAATAGGTCCCAAATGGTTTCACCAAACACACAAAATGGTAATTGTGTGAGGTGATGAAGGTGTTAACTAACCTTTTTGTGATCATCGTTTTGCAGTTGATCATCATTTTTCAATTGATCATCACACTGCATGCCTTAAACTTCTACAATGTTGTATATCAACTCCGTCTCAGATCTGGGGGGAGAAGAGTGTAGGGTCCAAGGCAGGGCCTCTTCTGCTCTGAGTCTGGGGGTGGTGCTGGATTGGGATGGGAGAAAAGTGTGTAAGTGGCATCCTCAGTGCTGACACTGTCAGTGCTCAGTATGTGTCTACGGAGTAAATTAATACGTTTGGTATATGATCTCTAACAACATGGCAGAAATATTACTTGCAGTCTGAAGAAAGCTTCTGTTCGGTTCCTTCTTTTCTTCTGTAGGTCTGTGTCCACTGCCCACCAGGGTGCAAAACCACATGAGAGAGGGAGGTGCCTGTCCTTAGGGCGTTAACTGGGGAGGCAAAATATACCCATTAAAGGCTAGCTAGAATGACCCCATTTCCGTGAGAGTGTGTGTATGTGTAAGTGAATGAATACATGCACGCATTTCTTTAAAAAGGTCTGGAGCGCACGGGCATTGGTATGTCTAGGCTCTGCGTAACTAATTGTTCTGTGTCCTCGTCTGCATTTATCAAATTCCATAGCAATAGCAGTAGGAAGAGCCTCGTGAAGTGGAGCCCTCCATGCTCCGGGCCCTGCCTAATTCTCCAGGTTCCTTTACTGCCTGTGTCCCGTTGCTTGTCACAGATCAGTCCGCACTGGCCTGCTGTCTGGTCCCCGGTCCCAGCACACCACGTGCCTTCCTGCCCTGGGCCTTTGGATTTACTGTTCGACCCCCCAGGAGTTCTCTTGCCCCTGAGCACGTAGTCAGCACCTTCTTCCATGTCTGACAGTGGCCCCCTTCCCCTCTGCACCCCAGCCACTCTGCCCCTTTCCCTGGCTTACTTTCTTCCTTAGGTCATCGCTCTTTGAAATGGCCTTATTCATTTCCTCGTGCACTATTTGCTTCTCTCACTAGAATAAATAGTCCGTGAGAGCAGGGACCCGCTTTCTCTTTTCACCACTGGACTCTCAGCACCTAGAACTATGTCTGGCACACAGTAGGTACACATTTAAAAAATTGACTGGACGGATGAGTGAGCAAGTGAACAAAGGAACCACCTGTGAGGTGGGAGTGATGACCTACCCACGGAGGAGGGAACAGACTTAATGCACCGATTGGAGCTGCGTTTTCATCCTCAGTCTTAACTGACTCCAGCGCCATGCTGTCAACCACTGTGCATCTGCCAGAGCACGAGGGACACGCTTTGCCTTATAATCCACCAAAATAACGCAGTCACGTCCACGTTAGAAAAGGGCTAATGAATACAAGAATTTCAGCGCCCTTAAAATGTGCGTGCACACAGAGGACAACCGTGCATGCTGCCCTTTGTGTTCAGCTAGAGGCCCAGTGAATTGCCATTAACCAGGAGAGAATTCAGTGTCTTTGGCTGGTTTGGTAACATTTTCCCAGTAACGAATTGAAATTTGCAAAGTAAAGCTGGGGGGCAGGGAGGAGGGTAGCGGGCAGGGAGCGCTTTTCACTCATGATGCAGAGCTTTGTTCTATTCCGTGTTGGTCTATGAGTTTTATCTGCAGAAATAATCTCCAGTTCCACTCTACTAGAACGTCTGTTTTTCTGTGATTTCTGAACGGAGGAGATTCTAACCCAAACCGTGTCATTGCAGAGGAATGGAAAGCCCAGTTCATTAAGACAGAAAGGAAGAAGCTCTTGAACTACAAGGCCCAGCTGGTGAAGGACCTACAACCCCGAATTTATTGCCCCTTTGCTGGGTATTTTGTGGAATCCCACCCATCAGACAAGTATGGCTGGACGTTTGGTACCACATTTTTATGCCTAAGTTAATGTATGCTGGATGAGGTGTTTGGGTGTGAATCAATATGGAATAAGAATGAGTAATTAGAAGGAGTCTCGAACTTGCTTCATAGGCTGCCTGAGGACACAGAGCATGAATAAAAGCAGTGCGTGCCTGGCAGCTAGAATTCATTCAGATAGATGTTCTCTGAAAGGATCCTGGGAAGGATAAAGGCAATCGCTATGGGCTCAGTACATGCCAGGAACTAAACTAGGACTTTTAGCCAAGCCATTCGAGTCCATCTTCTCAGGACACTGTGGGGTAGGTACTATTGTGCCTTTTTTGCGATAGGGAATCCAACTCGGAGAGGTGTGGGGACTTGCACAGCCACTCTGTTGGGAGCACTGGAGTTGAGAAGTGAACTCTGGTGTGTCCAGCGCCAGAGCTCTCTCCTCTCCACCACACCGCAGCCCCGAGTAGAGTATCTGCTACTGTCACATTTAAGTCTCCGTCTCCCTCTGGGGTATCCCAAATGGTTTGCAACAATATAACTTTTGGTCTGTTTTTTTGGCTGTGTTTTTGGAGGTCTGTGAATTTTCTTTGAGAATGCTATTTAAATGTTGGATCTTCAGTTTAATGGTGAAATGAATGACAGTCATTCATTTCAGTACTGGGTTTTGCACAAAATGCACTTGTTGCGGTCACTTTGATACTGGGTAATCTTTGAAAGCGTTAGCAGCTGACTTTTAATAAACTTCCTCCCAAATAGGAATATCTATCCCAGGGGAATCTCAGATTTAAGGAGCATTGTTGTGAGTGCATCTTAACTACTGTCTTTAGATTGGCTTGTCCTTCTTGGAGACTTTACTACTGCCAAATGCCTCAGCTCGGTGAAAGCTTTTTCTTTTCTCAAAAAACATAGACGCTTTGATAAGAAGGAAGCATCCAAAATTTCCTATGAATTACTAAAGTTCAGCTAAACATTTGCAAGATTATTAGTGTCCTTCGAGACATTGATTGGAGCTGCTAGGGCTGGGTTGTCCAATTCGGTAACTCCCTGCCACATGTTGAGAAGTGGTTACAGTGCTGCTGAGGATTACTGAAGTTGGCGTCGATGGATTGATTGGGTTTGAATTAGTTTTCCTATGTGCTGATACAATGTTGTAATTCGTTGAACATTCGTTGAATATTTACCGTAGATAGCTCATTTCACAGTGATACTTGTGTTCATTGTACTTGGAAATTAGATTAAACTATTTATCATGCTAAAATCTATTTAACTTAAATTTTTAGCTTAAGGGAAATACAGACACGTTTTTACATTAAAATATAGGCATCTAATGATGCAGAATTTTGTACAGATGGAAGGGCTAGTCCTATGCTGGGAACAGGAAAGACAAAAGGAAGACGAGGTCTGTTGCATATTTCACGTTACATAGCAATCGGTACCAACAGAGAAGAAAAAAGTACTGGATAAAATTTTTTTTTGAATAACGTGGACTGTATGGAGACATTTTCAATAAATGTAGGGAATCTGGCAAGAAGTTTCCTCTCAATAGCCAACAAAGAATTAATGAAATTTGTCACATTAAGTTAATAACATATCAAGAAGAAGTGGTGTTCAATGCATGAATGCAAGTGTATTTCAGTGAGAATTATTAATATTTCAGTGTATTTGTTAATCTAAGATGAAAGATCACATGACCTCCAAGGACACTCCAAAGTTTAACTCTCATTTTGACAAAAAAATCCTCTAAAATTGAACATTGGATGACTGTTTCCTTACTCTATTTAATATATAATCGTGTGCGTGTGTGGAGTTGGGGGAGTCAACCATGGAGGGGCACTAGAACATTTGAAGTCAGAAATACTTTAAAGAATCCAATAAGACAACATCAGTGAAGTAGACATCTAGAATAATAAAGGCGGCAAGACTATCACGTATGATGCTGATAGGATGGTATATCTAGAAAATTAAAGAAAGAAAGAAAGTCAACTGAAAAACTATTCCAAACAATTAAAACAACTACTACTTGGGATTTGTAATTACAGAAAAGGCTCTATTTTCAATAGTAACCAAAAAAGAGGAACAAACTGGGGATAAATTTAACTGGAGGTGTGCGAGTCTTAATATAAAGAAAGCTTTCAATGCCACTGAATGACACAGAAGAAAATCTATACTATGTTTGGGGACCAAATAACAAAATGGTATCGTTCATAATAATTTATAAGGTTAGTGTGATTCCAAGATACTTAGTAAGTGTTTTTGAAAGTAGTCAAGCTGATTCTTAAATTAATCTGGGGAGGGAGGGAAGCCAAGAATATTTAGTAAGACTCTGATTAAAAAGAGCTATCGGAAGAAACTACTCTACCAGGGAGTAAAACACGTTAAATTCTGTGTTTTACTAAAACCCAAAGGAACTATTGCATAAACAGCCAATAAGTCAGAATGCAAAGTACAGAAATGAACTCAGATCCGTCTGTGGGTTTAGTAGAAAAGTCTCTGTGGGAGACATTTCAAAGCAACAGTGGTTTAGTAAATGACACTGGGCAAATAGTTTCAAGGGATTTTCAAATTAAAAAAAAACACCAAACCTGTCAATTTACAGCCCCCCAAAATTTGAATCTGGAGAATAAGTACTTTTGAATCTTCTATATTTGACAAAGAATAATAATTTCTACCAAATATGAAAAACTTACTTTTTTATCATGGTAGGTGTTCTTCAGCTATGTTAGATTTTTAAAACACCCAGACATACAGGGATTTTTAAAACAAGGAGTTGGTGTTTCCTTTCTTCTTCCTATTGAATGGTACATCTGGAAAACATTTCTCTAAGTTTTATGAAGCGGCCACTAGCAGAAGTACCCTGGATGCGTTGTTGAAGTGTGGACTGTATACATACAAATGCTTGGAACCCTCACCAGTTGATGAAGCTGCTAAAAGAAAAGAGAAAACAATGAACTTAATGGTCTTGTGCTCTTTGCAAATGCTTGTTGGTTGAGTCATGGAAGATTTGTATTGTCAAGTCCAATTCAAAGATTTCCTGAAACTTGGGGCACTGGGCTGGCACAGTTGGTAAAGTAGTGACTCTCAATCGCACGGTCATGAGTTCTAGCCTCCCATTGAGCATGAAGCCTACTTAAAAAAAAAAAATGCAAACTTCCTGAAACAAAAATAATGCTTGCCAGACATTCAGAAGTCATAGACAAAATCTGGCATTGTGACTAACATTTCTCTGATGTTGTCCTGCACATGAGCAAGCTAAATTTAAAGCTCCAGGGAAAGGAAGCACATACTTGTGACTTAGTTATACAGGATGAAAGTTATATTGAAATTGAATCTTTTTCTAATACAAATCAACAATGATTTTACCCATTTTGGAACATGAATCAATATGCAGAAGATGTTATTTGTAATTGGCAGTATTATATAAACTGAATGCAAAAATTACAAACCAAATTTGAACAATGCTTTGTTAATATTTATAATTTGCCATTGCTTTTCAATTTATGCAATACCCCTTTGGATTCAGTGTTCAAACTAATGAGTTTACCCAAGAGTTATTGAATTTACTAAACTTGGACAGATGTAGTTTTAAAACTAATCCATTTTGCTTCAAAGTCAAATCAGTCTTCCTAAGAAAAATGAACCAGTTTTATCAATGTACGTGTGAACATTATATAAAAATATATTTTTGGTACTTGATCCATTTACTGAAAATCTTTTAAGTATGTTTGAAATAACTTGAACAAGTGAATCTACTCTTTCAACCGTAAGTATTATGAAATTTAAATGCTGATCAACTTTCTTAATGAAAATTTAGTGTTTGAATTGAGATGTACTCTGATAGAGATGTGTCTAACTGAGAAGTACTATAAATAATGTGGCTAGAGAAATACTGTTTATTTTTCTAGTCCTCAATTTTATTTTCTCTAAGAAAGTTCCATGTACTTAAAATGTTACTGTGCTTCCCTACTAAGCAGCTACATCAGTTACATTTTTAAACTTAAAAAAAAAAACCAGATATACTTTTTTTCCTAAGAACTTCTTACTTTGAAGGAGCACAGACCTTACAAGAAATACTTTGGAATTGCTAGATATCCCTAGATATAAATTCAAAGAATGTGTTCATGTATAAACATACACACCTTTTAAAAATATGTATGTCAAAAACAATCTTATCATAAGAAACAGCCCTAAAGTAGGAATGAAAGTTAGGAGGCTTTGGTCACATAGGAGACATGCTCATCTATTAACCCCATTGATGTATCTTTAACTCTGAGATGGAGAATAAAGTAGAGTTGAGTTGAGTTAATGGAGACAGACAGCAGATGAAGGACTTAGTGAACCAGGGAAAGGTTGTCTGTGTTGAGTGAAACTGATACAGAACGAAGGGAATGAGCATCTCCAATGACTGCTGGCAAATTATGGCTCTCAGAAACTCCCCTTAGACTTTGCCTAAATTCTTTAATTTTCTAAAGAAAATGGAGTTATCAGTAGATAACTCTATCTCGCACTCAATCTTGATATAGAGCTAAGTGGCCATCAGTTAATATAACAAAAACAAACCTCTCAGCACCTACTATTGTAGACATAGCACAAAGGTTGCACTTAAATGGCGCCAAGATTCAATGTAGTTAAGGGCCAGTATAGCAATCAGAACAGACATCAGTTAGTGCTGGATCAGGTCCTGAAGGCTCTGCTTCCCCAAGCTTTAACCTTCTAACTGATGGAACTGAGAGAGAGAGCCAGGAGCTCCCAGGGTAGCAAAGGGCACACTCAGGGTCTCAGAGAAGCCGTTTAACCAGCTGACACAGAACTATTTCAACAGTTTTGCAACCACTGGACCTACCAGCTAAAGGTTAACTGTTCCTTAACGTAATGGAAAAAGTGGAGAAAAGACCGTGCTGCCGCCCACAGCTGTCACCCCACACGGAACTACCCGAGGACTGAGAGCCTGGACTGTGGTAATACTTGTCATATGTCACATAACTCACTGTCTTAGA